CCTATCTATCCACTTTTAAACCCTCTTATCCTACTCCCGCCCTATCACAACTTCTCACTTGTTGGATGAAAGGATACAGAGTGGATAGATAGGCCAGGACAGAAAAGGGAGTGATTGTGTAAGCGTTTTCGGCAGAACATTTGCCGAGGGATTGACTTCACTTCTCTCTTTTGACGAGTTCGTAGGTTGGTGCGGAGAATGGCAAAACTGACTGATGATGCCGACGAAACGTTTCAGAATGTACCAAGTCGACTGTCTGATGCTGGAAATCATGGCAACTACTATGCCAGATGACTTCGGACAAGGTGCGTTCTACATAGCCGCCATGACAACAAAACCAAGTTGCGACAACGAGGTCAACCTACTTCTATAAATCGAAAGGAGACTGCGACCATACCAGAGGCTACAACATCTTGGTCTTTATATCTTCAAATAAAAATATATTTTATTTCCGCTACATCCGGGCAACAGGATTCACGAATGGTGAAAATGGACATAAGGAGTGTTTTTACTTTTAGAAAGCTTTGTCTTGCATAAAATATGACCATCTTCTTTTAATTTGAGAAAATACAGAATATATAACATCAGAAATTAGCATCACCATAATGGATTTTACCAAACCTGAGTATGAGTAGTCAAGTAGCTACTTCAATAACCTCAAATGAATCTATTATATCATTATTCTATAGCAGATAAATTAGCAATATATAATAAAATGGGGTTAATCAGGCAAACGCTTCATCTTATCGAGTGGGCCATGTATCCATTTTTATTAGATATAAATTACATTTATTTAATGAAGAATATCCTAAAAATCTGGATTAAGTGAAACTAAAGTGTACAAAATACAAATTCCATTCTTTGCATCTCACCATTGGGAGACGTGATTATGGGAATAGTAAACTTGGCGCCTAAACCTCCGCCTTGGCCATTATTGTCTGCTTTCGTTCGTCCAGCTATTGTTAAAATGTATTTAGTTGATGCAGCTAGTCCTTCGAATGTGTACGCTTCCACGTCTGGCTGCAAAATGACCTTCTGACTGATGACTCCATCGTCAATCAGCTCCAGTTCGTACGATTCCAGCTGGCCCTTGACAGATTTCGGAGGCTTCCAGGTTAAGTGGGACAAGTTGGTGCGGGTGTACTCAATCGTCACATACTGAGGCTCCGACGGTGCTGAAGTAGAGAGGAGAATAGCATAATTTATCCCTTTTGTGGGGAACATGTTTTACGCTGTCACTAATGCCCATAAATTGAAGCCTGACCATGTGAAATGGAGCTATTAGTCAAGATTTACTGACAACCTCGAAAGCCTACTTCAGTTGGGCCACAGGTTTGCTCCATCAACAATCCGACTACAAGCTCCTGGATGAGAATACTTTTTGGAAAGCAGAGACATGTGAAATTCGATGGAAAAGTGAGGCCTACTCGAATGATTGTAGAAAAAGAGTTAAGTATCATCTTTCATTAACTTTAGCTGACCAAAACTCTTATGCCAGATTTACTGACCGTCTCGAAAGTCTACTTTATGTGAATATAAGTAATAGTCAGTATCTTGGAGATTTTTCATCTGTAAGGTTTCCAGCCTCAATCACATTACAAGAGGTCAAAGCTGATTTGACCTCGCATTTGCATGCACGGGAACAGCTCAGCTCTGTGACTCATGTGCTCTTGGTCTCTCTTGAAGAGGTCCGGAAAGAGATCATCTCCAATCCGTGCAACCGGTAAAGCTGCTAAAAGCACTGGAGACAGTCGTAAGCTTGCGTTCAGAATGAAAATATAGAAAGATCTTGAATATGATGTTGGTCAATCTAGTCGTAACTGGGAGCCAAACGAGTGGCTACACCATGCATAGAAGACATTTTATGTGTTTTCTCCGGTCTCGGTTGGCTAAGAGGGATCACGCGCTGGTACAGAAAACTGGATCAGTCAGGCTCTTCTTGCTTGTGAATTAGTAGCAAAAGGGAAGAAGCTTGACAAGCCAAGGCATGTGCTCGTCCAAAGATGGCAGAAATGAAATGTCGTTTGACAACCGCCAAAGAGATGAAGCAAACAGCATGTGAAAACAGATTCGTTCTCGCCAATCTTCTTGCCAGTTCGGTCAAGGTTTTGAGAAAAGCGCAAACTTTCACAATCTATCTGATTGTGTATTCACATTGCATATGATTCGATACTGTCGACTGTGATTTATATGAAATTAGTTCACCCTATTTTGTCTGAGGTGGTTGTTGCATTTTTCCACAATCCTATGAGTAGATCTTAAGTTTGCAGTTAATTTCACACAGTCTTGCTTCCCAAAGGTATTCTCATCCAGGCGGGGGTGAACTCCAGAGGGACTCGAACTAGGGCGGTGCAGCATGTAATCTAGACACGTTAACTACTAAGCTCGAAGGGAAGATGTGAATTTCAAAGAAGGCCAGACTTTTTTTCCACATCACGTACTGTGACGGAATTGTCGATAAAGTAAAGTTGCATATAATCTTGCAATCAAGCACACTACTTATTTTTCGTTTATGAGTAGGCTTCCATTAAAAATGTTTAAGAAAGGGTAGTTGAATTGTTTCACAATCATATTAGTTGAACTTACGTCTACATTCAATTTGGCACACACAAAAACATGACTAAACGTGAAACAGGTAATGTATTCGGTTATTGTGGCAAATACAACTTTGCTTCATCGTCAATTCAAGCACAGAATGTGAAATGGGAAAATTCCCGGCCCATCTTGAAGTCGCATCTGTCCTGTGTCCAAAAGACACTCGTGGCAGTAGGGCGTAGTGGATAACATATTAAGATGGTGGGCTACGCTGCCAAAATCAGAGTTCGAGTCCCGCTGAATGCACTGAGGAGAGGAGGTTGAAACGGCAGTCCCCTTCCACTTGGATAAGAATACCTTCTAAGAGGTCCGAATGTGTAAAAATTCAACTAAACATTCAATCAACCCTTTCACTTTATACGAAGTTGTGTGAATACCTATTCATAGATGAATTTCATTTAGCTTTTCCTTCCAAAATGTATTCTAATCACACTTCGAAATGCCGTCTGGGTCTCATCTGCACCCTGACAAAGGGAATCGAATGAATGAGCAAATACTGGTTAACTCGGGTCGGATTCCTGTTGGGGTGTTGATGAAACCCTGTCTCTTCTGTATGAGAATCCCTTTTGGGAAGAAAGATCGAATGAAATTCAAAGACATCATTAGGCCCACTCTTATGAATGTGGGAGAATTGAACAACCACCTTACGCGTGCTATTGTGAAAAGCTGACTGTGTGTTCAACTAGGAAAGTCGCCAGGAGGCCCTGCATACCCAATTTCTTTATGATTTTAGGTTTCGGCTTCCCGCAGCTCTTGCAGATGACACCGACATTTCCACATTTCTCCCTTCTTCAACCCAACTCATCAATGCGCCACGGGCCAAATGTGGCTACATTAAGTGTGATTAACTTTTTCATACATCTCACATACAAGATCAACTTGCCTCCGGGCGGGACAGTCACGTCTAAAGCTTCGGAAAAGGGACCCAATCCACCCCCCAAGCCGTTTTCATCTTTTTGCACCAGCGCCGCCAGGCTAAACGAGTAAGCGGTCAGAGAGGTCAGATTGTAGAGGTACTGATTGGTGGTGAAAGGAGACAGAGAAGCATTGAAAATCTCCAGTTTGCTGACTTGGTCGATGCCCCGGCAGATGTAATTGGTCACAATCCCGTTCATATGAGCCGGTTTGTCCCACAAGATCTGGGCGAATGAGCCGCCAAATTTGCCAAGTTTGAGATTCAAAGGTGCCGACGGAACTAAGTAGGTAAGCAAATAAAGCGGCAATTAAGATAGGAGAAAGAATAAAACTGCAAATATGTACAACAAGATTGTCATCAGCTCATCGACAAGCCAGCATTTTTTCGCACAAACAAAAAAAAGAAGTAGAATTTTCACACAAATGATATGAGTTGGACTGACGTTTCCATTGAATATTTACATACAATTCTACTTCTACCAGTCCTTCATCACCTTAAACGAAATTAGGTGAATAAATCTCATACTACTGATTTACTGGTAGTCACGAAAAACAATACTTAATTCGAAAAAAAAGAACTATGGAAAGAAGGAGCAAGCTATAGAATAGAAAAAAAACGACAAAGTCAAGTCCAATCAAATCAAATTTTAGACAGAGGACATTTTTGTATACATAACTTTGGCATAGTTGGACCGATTGCCTATTTCAGTGGTTCCCAAATTTTTCTTAGTCACGGCGCCCTCTTTAAATTACAATTTTTTCATGGTGCCCTACCCCAAGTATGACTATTCGTAAGTAAGAGATAAAAATAAATAAAATTCGTGTATCTTCATTATTATTTTTACCTTATTGACATTAAGTTATTATTTAATAATTAATGTGACTGATGAGCCTGAAAAACACTGGCCTACATCAACATCGAAGAAAAAAGGCTGTTTCTGCTAAAAGATTGCCAAAATGAGCGAAAAGTTCAATTATGTAATGGACCAATTATGGGCCAATAATTACATGCTAAAATGGAGAAACTAGTGACAAAAAAACTGTCTTTTAGATGAACGGTGAGTATCTGGCACATTTGCAGCATCGCATGAATAGATTATAAAGTTGCTTTGACGGTGTGTAGACCAAGATGGTGCATCCCATAGCATGATCGCGGCTTCTTTTCGTTGTAACGACTTAGCTTGATCCGGTTTTCACCACTCGACGACTGAGATAAGCAAACTTTGTTCCGAGGTCATAGATAGCAGGATATTTTCCAGCCGGCCATCCTTTGAGTTGAGTTAAATATGATGAGCGTTACTAAGGGAATGTAATGTCAAGGTGATAACGAAAGAAGAGACAACACCATTCACCAACCTTTCGATGCAAGAAGAAGAGGAAAGTTGTGGCATCAAATGCGGAAACTGTGAGCAGAAGTCAGGGAGCATAAAACGTCCAGCAGAAAAGTGGACACGGAAAGATCCGAAATAGCGGAACACATTGCACGGACGAGGCCTGACTGCGAAGACAGGGTACAAATAGCGCGGATGCAAGATCCGAGAGGCTACCGACATCTTGACGGAAATAAATCTGATCAACTGGAGACCTGAAGAAGGCAGGACTAGCGGAAACTTTGCATAGTGTTCAGGAATCCTCGAAGCATATCGTAGAAAAGTAGGATCAGCAAGAAGATGACGACTAGATCAGGTAAATCTTTTTAACACGAGGAAAAGAAATCGCCAGCAGGAGGCCACAGAAGAAGACTGGGAAATCTAGACAAATTGTGTATTGAAAATCTAATCAAAGCGGAGGTATGAAGACCAAGATGGTGTGGCCTTTTGTGTGGTCGTAGTCTCTTTTCGTTGAAAAGAGGTTGTTTGACCTTGTTTTCGCAACATGGTCGTATTTGTAGGAAGACTTCGAGGAACGTACCTAGTCCGGAGTCCATTGTATGCATCATCATTTCCAGAGAAGGACCGTGGACGTGGTACATTTCTCTAAGAAATATTATAGCAAATGGTGTGTTTGCTGGATCAGATGGTGAATTTGCGCAAGTCAAGCATTTTAAATAAGATTATGTTTTATAAAACGGCATCGCAATTGTATCAGAAGACACGTCAACTAAAGGGTCAGCCACCTCGGCGCATTGGGTCTCACTTCCAAGAAATATGAGAAGGGTCATTCACACCTCTTCAAACCTCCGGTGGATACAGAAGTTGTTTGTCCTTATTTTCGCAACTTGGTCACATTGGCAGGAAGCTGTAGAGCAACCCACCTGGTCTAGAGTCCATAGTATTCATCATCATTTCCAAAGTTGAACCGTGGACGTGGT